CAACCTTATATGTGATATATGTAGTATGTTAGGATGTAAATCAGCAGAATTTCTCAATGTAATTCTATAGCAGAATCTTGTTTGTAAAATATTCCATGATTGTATTTAAAATCCCGACTATAAAATATTTTTCCTTTTTTTCTGCCAAAGATGCAGTGAACTCAAGGGCCACTTTACTCTATCCTACTCTAGTCTGAGAGCCTCTCATACTCAAATTCAGTAAGTCCCACACCCAGACACCACCTCGACTGTTCCTTGGGGAGGAAGAAAAACTTAATTTAGATAATTCCCTTTGCAAAGTGTACTAGCTGATCCAAACCAGACCTGGCAGACTAAAGGCATGCTGTTGCTACATTTCAGGGATGCTTTAATGTAGAAATAGCTTCTTGTTGCATTTGGGGGATTAAGAGTGACTTCAAGAATAGGTAGGGGTGATCAATAACCTATTTTTAAAAACACAAACAGCTTCATGTTTTACTTTGGCCTTTTAGCTGCTTCTAGAAAGTTCCTGGCACATTTCCTCCAATTCCATTGCACATACGGAAACAAACAATAACAATCATCAGAATAGGGGAAGTTTGTTGTGTATTGCAAATGGATATGTTTAGCTTATGTAAAGAAAAACCACTGTTTTCTAAGTGGTTAATGAAAGAACATGCCTGGTTTCAGAGCACATGTTCCAACACTTTGTATACACTCACTGGATCCTTCTGCAGTAAAAGAGAGAGCTCTAGCCAGACAACAATGCCAAAAGATTCTGTGTGTTGATAGTAAAATGCCCTAAAGAAACACATTCTGAGATATTGTCTTATTTGAAGGGTCCATGAACTAAAAAAGAAAGGAATATGGAGAAGTATAAAATGCATATATGATTTTGTCCTCATGAAAATAAAAATGAATCCTAGTAAAACTCAAATTCTATAATTTATTGTGAAATACATTCCTGGAAAAGGAAATTGCTATTCTACTGAAAGAAAGAAAAATCCATCATTACCAATAAATGGAGGCGGCTCTGGTGCCCTTGTGGTAAGAAGCTACGTTGCAAACCTGAAGGCACATGGTTGGAATTCACCAACTGCACCTTGGGAAGATGGGTAATCTCCTTCCACGATTACCTGTCTCGGAAAACCAACTTGAGGGTCAACTATGGGTCAGTTCCAACTATACAGCACTCAACAACAACCACCAATAAATGGAGTGGTTTAGATAGTTTAGATAGCCTGGACTTTTCTTAGAAATTACAATTTAAAGAAGAAAAAAAAATCAGCAATAGCAATTATCAGCAACTAGATACCTCCCATCTGTTTGATGAGTCTGCAGAGCGCTTTGAGAGTCTGTGGCACAACAGAACAGATATAGTCTCTCGACACTGTCATTCTTAATGGGCACCTCGAGTCATGAGTTTATTCTGAGTCATTGTGATACAATTCCATGTGACAGATTAGAACTGTCCCCTAGGTTTTCAAGGCTATAATGTCTATGGGAGCAGATTACCAGGCATTTATCCAGTGGAGCTTCTGGGTAAATTCTCACTGCCAACCTTCCCTTTAGTGCTGAGCTCTTGTTAGTCATCATGTCACCAGGATATCTGTTCTACTTCACATAGAGTGGTGCTACCTTGAAAGCTGGCACCTTGAATCTATCTTATGAAAGACACACAGAACAACTTTTATATAGCCTGTCTTTTTAAAAGTTATATTTTACAGTGAGAGTTTATTTGTGTAAAAAAATGCCATATGCCACCTTAAAAATGATAATGAAAAGAAATTAACTCTCGATACTCTGGAATTGAATGCATTTTGTTGTTAAGTGCCATCAAGTCTGCTCCAGGTCACAGAAACCCTATATAGAATAGAGCTAAAAACAGCCCAATCCAAGGACGGAAGGAAATATCTACATGGGATCAAACTGACAACAGCAACTTGATAGGTTGGAGAGCAAGTCAGGAAACAGTGAATTCATGTTAATGGAGGAGGTAAAACTCAGAAGAGGACGATGAGGATGATCACACTAGTGAAGAAAATATTCAGTGTCATTTAATTATACATGGATTGATGGTTGAGGTAGTACATATTCTGCTGTGTATTTTTACAGAAGAATACAATAAAATAATTTTTTAAAGGAAGAAAGGAGGAAAAAGCAAAAATTATAAAGAGAAGGAAGAGGGAAATCCAGAGAAAAGAAGAAAATTGAGCAAAGGAAAGATAGAAACCCATAAGAAAGGAAATTGGTTTTGTATTTAAGGGAGAGATGCTTCTGTCTTCCTACTTTATTTTATGGTATTATAGCGTCTGAAGTTTCAGATATAGACAGAGTAAAAAATACACATATGTATTAATAGGCAAGGACTTAAAAAACTTGAATTCATGTTGATAATGTCGAGAAGACTAGTTACGTGTGATAACATGCCTGGTGAAAAGAAAGGTATATTAAAAACACCCTCAGTTATATTTATAAAAGTAAACACTGTGCACTTAGTAGAAATACTATTGAAGAGTTATTGGTTGATATGAGAAGATATCCATCTTCAAAAAATCAAGCTGTAATACAATGTACTCAGTATGAAGAACTTTTGTGAAAAATATGTTAATACATAAGTAATATGCAGCAATATTTGGGTGATGAAATTGTGATTTTTCAATTTTCCTTTTGTTTTATCCTTTTCCTTTACTGCATGTTCTATCATATCATTATAAAAATAAAAATAAAAAATAAATAAATTAAAATATTTAAAAAATAAACATAAATAGAAAATGAGAGTAAATTTTTCTTTTTTCACTTACTAGTGATTCCTAGGAAAACCTCTCAGAGTAGTAACTTGAAATACATGACTGGGAAATGACGTTCAGTGGCAAAATTAAAGCATGAGTGAGAAAACCTACATCAATAACAGTTCACTCAATTAACGCTTGTGACATACGTGTGCCTGTTTAGATACGAAACTTCAGTGGTATAAATAATGCTTTTCAACAAGATTTTAAAATCCAGAGTATTTCACCATGTGATCAGGTCAGAACTAACTATGATTTTATTGATGGTTATATTGCTTCCCCTCAAGCCACAGTACAAAAATTTGTAAATCTAAAAAGATACAAGTCAGAGGGTATGAATGACCCATTTGAGACTTTAAATCAACAGTCAGGTTTATCTTCTTCATGCAAAAGTTGAGTTATTATCAGTACTTTTTGCAAGATGTCCTTTTTTAGCATGAAATCAGAAAATTCTTCCAGATTATATATAGTATTGTCAGATGATTGTTGTTGTTGTTGTTGTGTGCCATCGAGTCGCTTGCGACTCATAGCAACCCTATGTACAACAGCCCTAAATTCCGCTCTGTCCTGTGCCAATCGCACTGTCTCTGACACTCCCATCCCGATTATCCCAGTCACTGAATCAATCCACCTCATAGAGGGCCTTCCTCTCCTGCGCTGTCCCTCCACCCTCCCAAGCGTAATGTCCTTCTCCAAGGACCAGTCTCTCCTCACAACATGTCCAAAGTATGTTAGACAGAGCCTCAGAATCCTTGCCTCCAAGGAGCCACCCGGTTTAACCCTTTCCAGGTCAAATCTGTTTGTTTTCCTAGCAGTATGTCAGATGATCAGTCATTGTGGAAAGAACACATCTAGGAACCAAGAAATTGGAATTCCATTCCCTGTTCTGACACTTACTAGTCATGTAACCTTGAACAGGTAACTTACATCTAATAACTCTATTACCTCATGTGTGGTTGTTATGTTCTTGGAGCCAGGATGATTTATAACTGAGCGTCTAGTGGGTTTTCAGAAGTAGTAAATCACATACTCATCCTTCTCCTGCAGAACAGCTGGTGGATTTGAACCGCATACTTTGGATTGATAACGCAGCTCCTTACCCATAAGCCATCTGAGTTTTTTCATTTCTACTATAGAGTCTTGGAAAACTGATAATAATTTTAGGTACATTCCTGTTTGGATAAAGTGAAAACTCTGGTCTCATTGGTACAGTAGTCTTTAACTCAATATCAAAATAGCCAGCTAAAAAAGTAGTTAGCAATCAAGAAAAGTGTGTCCTACACTCTAAAAAGAAAATGAATTTGACTGAATGTCCATCCTCAACTTTAACAGTTAAAAAAATATACAAGTATGTTAGTCCTACTCTCAAGATCTCTAAAACCGCATTTACCAGAACGACTCATACTTTACATGAAACACAATGATGTGATGACATCTATATAGTTAAGAAAAAAAATATACTATGCTCAGATGAAATAGCTTTAAATGAAAAAGGCAATTAAAAGTTTCTTGAGTAAGCTTTATACATAGGTCAATAAATTTTTTAAAAATGGCATAAATGTTATTTCTCTCTAGCATCATAATTCAATGATTTTTATAGCTATGGACAAGCCCAAGGTAAATAGAGAATTCAAATGACAAACTTTTAAAGAAAATTTAAATTGATAAAAGTTTTGATTCTGCTAAAAGTTTTCATATGATGTATCATTGTATTTGATAATAAAAATCAAACCAAACCTACTGATGTCAAGTCAGTTCAACTCAAAGTGGCTTTCAGTTGGGTTTATGAGGCTATAAATCTTTAAACAAGGAGACTTAAATCTCCTCAGGAGACTCATCCTTCTCAGGAGAAAGGCCCATCGTTTTTTCCTGAGAAGAAAACAGATGATTCAAATGGCTCACCTGTTGACCCCAAACATTATTACTATACCACCAAGTTCCTTTAGACTAGTAATTTGCATAGATATGGCAGAATTTGAAAAATTTAATTAGAGAAATTAGCATTTTTTTTTAAAAAAGCAAATCTTTAAAGAGTGCTATAAATAGTTTAAAATCATTTTGTTAGAAACACTTTGTTAAAATCATCTCTTTTCATTACACATTAAATAAAATTTTTATACTAAGCATTTTTTATAAGCCATGGTAACATTAAAAGAAATAATAATTGACAGAGAAGTAAGGGATATAGATAAATACATATTTGATATCTTAGTGCACAGCAACTCTCACCTGTTTTTCTCATGAATTTTTGAGATTTCATTTGTCTGTTGAAGAAGTTGTTTCTCTAGCTTGTATGTTGATAGTGAGTTCTCCAGAAGTTGTATTTCAAGTCGAGAAGTTTGATTTAATACCTTCAGATTAAAAATAGTAATATTTATAATCACAAATCAAAGAATATAAAATAATTATTTTGGATTTTATATTCAACTGTATTTTCTCTTTAAATATTTATTACAAGAAAACATTTTCTTACATGAAAAGTTTACTATTTACTATTTGATGTTTTGCAAGTCTCTTAAACATATTGATTTGAAATTGAGGCTGAAGTTGAATGAAGAAGTTTAGATAGATAGAAAGATAGATAGATAGATAGAGATGATATATAGAGAGATATAGATGATATAGAGATAGAGACAGATATATATTAGATATAGATATAGGTATAGATGATATAGATAATATAGATATAGAGAGATAGAGATAGAGATAGAGATAGAGATAAAGATAGAGATAGAGATAGAGATAGATGAAGTAGAGATAGAGATAGAGATAATGTGATTGGAGAAATTGTATTCCTGAATTCATTTTTAAAGTTAAAATTTCCAAGTGCTGAAAATCTATGGTGTTAGATTCTTTAGGCATATTAGAACCTATATTTTAACAATGCAGCTAAATGTTGCAAGCTATAAGGTCATAGTTCATAAATATAATTAAAAATGATTCCTCCTGACAACCTGCTCAAAGTATGCGAGATGAAGTTACACCATCCTTTGCTAGTAAGTAGATCTCATTATCACATGAGTCTATGAGGTCTCCATTCTCCGAGCAAAGGTCATACCCTCTAACCAGAGCAGATGTCTTCATACTGTGTCAAAGTTCTTGTTCTTTTGTCACCTTTTTCTTTTCTCTATCTTGATAGCATCTAACAACTGGCCTAGTAGGTATAGATTTGTCCTGTCGACACAAAGGTAGGTGGTTCAAATGCACTAGCTGCTCCAGCAGTTGTTTGTTGTTGTTGTGTGCCATCCAGCTAGAATCGACCCACTCAAAGCTGACCTTCCAGACATTTTTAGAGGCAGTTAATCTCATGGGAGGACATCACTGAAGGGTCAGCTGTGAGTTGTTTGACACTCTAAGGCATATAAAAATGACGATAACAACACCAAACTCCTCTTCTAAAAGTAGCACAATTAGGGTTACCTTTGCTTTCTGCAGGAGATCTAACTCTGGGGCTCTATCAGATCCTCCTAGAAGCCTTTCCAAGATATGCTAGTAAGCCCAGGACTGGATTTGAGCTCAAGGATGTTGTAGGAGAAGGGATTATATTTGTTTGGAAGTAGTTGGTTATATCTTGTGCTATTAACCAGAAAGCCAGTTGTTTGCATCCACCAGCTGAATCAGGATGAGAAAAGAGAGATACATCAGGTATAAAATTTAAGGGATGCCCTTACTCCTAAAATCCCCTGAAGCTACATAAATAATATTTTAATGCAATGTTTTAAAAAGTGAAAATGAATCTTAAAAATTCCATGGTGACTATTGTTGGTAGGCCCCATCAAGAATCAAGTATGACTCACAGCGATTCTATAAACAACTGATCTGAACCCTGTCCTGTCCTGTGCCATCCACACACGGCACTCGGCATGCATGTGGATCTGGATCAGTTTACTATTTCATATTAATTATTGTTTTATATACCACATACTATTAAAGGTAAACACTAATATAGTTTGTCAGTTCACTCATAAACAAAATTAGTTTCAGAAAGAGTAAAAAATAGAATGGCACAACAGGAAAGGCCATGAATATTTCCTGACACCAACCCTTTCATACTGCAGACTTGAAAAGAGGAACTTGAAGGAGGAGAGATACTGGAAGAAACTGATAAAAAAAGTGAGAAAAACACCATAAACCACAGTTTAGAGGAAGGAAGAGGGATGGTGTTGGCCCAATATTCACCACCATGGTCAACAGAGATATATTCATGATTTATCTCTTTTCTGATCATGCAATTTATAGGATACAAATTTGAGTGGATATGGTAAAACTTGAAAATTGAATATTAGAGAAATTATTCGGTTTTATATTTTAAGTAAGTTTTCCAAGTATACAAAATAGTATGTAATGCTATTATTTAAAAGTAAATATGGCAAGTATAACTCACTATATTTACCTCTAAGTTTCTTACCATTTTATATTAAAATAGATTTGGCTTTACATAATTCAGCAAAATATTTTGAAATACAATTTCAGCAAAAGCTTGGTCCTAACACTGTTTCTTAAAATGAAAGATTAGATGTTCAACAGAGGACTATAAAATAGTAATTTAAAACACCACAATATGAGTTCTGGTGCTTTGGCGGTAAGGAGTTGCACTGGTTACTCAGAGGAACTCAGTTGGATCCCACCAGCTCTCAGTAAGAGAAAGATTGACCAGCTCCTTCTGTGCAATTTACTGCCTCTGAAAACCCACTGAATGGTCAGTTATTATTGGTTTCAACTCTACAGTACATAATAACAAAATATGAAAAACACTGCTACTATTAATTACTGTTGAGCTGACTAACAGCTGACCCTCCAGCAGTTATTTGGAGGCTGTAAATCGCATGAGAGAATATTGTCCATCTTTATCCCACATAGTCTCTGTTGGGTTTGAACCTCCAGTGAGACACCATCTTTGGGTTAGTAGAGAAACTCCCTATGGAATAAGTCACAACTAGAGCATCCTACATCTAAATAGTAGTTCTCTACTATTTAAAAAAAAAAAATTGTCAGGGGAGCTCTGGTGTCAGGGGAGCCTAGTGGTAAGGAGCTGCAACTACAATCCCAGAGGCGCTCGGTTCAAATCCACCAGATGCTCTGCCGGGGAAGGAGGGACAATCTCCTCCTGTACCAGTCAGATCTGATTTGACGGTACACTCACACAAAAATAATAAAATTTAAAAAAAATTGTCAATAAAGAAATCTTCAAAATATTTGAATATTTAAAAAAGCAACAATTTTGAACTAAAAATTTTTTGTTGTTGCTTTTACATTTGCCACAGGACTGTTTAATTTGGAGGCTCTTCGTGAATTATACACATGTCATATGTTTATTTATGTGTTTAAATAGTTTTTTGTAGACTGTTATGTCTCACTTGTCAGAAGGCAATAGGTGTCACATAACCAAAGTGTTTCTCAGAGTTTGATGTACATGTGGCTAATATTTACAAACTGTGGCATGATGCTTGGAAAGGATGGAAGGTCAGTCCAAGAGAGGAAGACTCTAAACCATGTGGATTGACACAGTAACTGCTGCAAAGGGCTTGAGTGTGTCTGAGTTGGTGAGGATGGCACAGGATAGGACAGGGTTCAGGTCTGTAGTTCATAGGGTCGCTATGAATTGTATTCAATTCAACAGTATCCAACAACAACAGCACAACACTGGAACAGGTGAAGAGAAGGATTATCTGAAAGAAATGGGTGGCTGGGCATTGTATGAATGAAAATGAACAATTTGGAATAAGACATGCATTACAAAATGAATTGGAGGTGGGAGAGGGGAGGAAATGTATGTCAATGTACTAATGATAGCCTATGCGTTCTGTGAACTTTCACTAAAATTAGAATAAAACAATAAAAAAATTTACGGCCTTGCAAACTCTATGGGAGGTAACCATGAGTTAGAATAAACTCAATGATGGTGGGCTATTTGTGTTTTATGTTAAAAAATTACTTTCTTATTTCTAAAAAAAAAAACCAAACAAACAAAAAAAAAAAGAAAAAATACCTCAAAAGGTTTATAAATTGTATGTACTTTGCTTTTTTAACTTAACTATAAAGAAATTTTAGAGAATTAAATATCTTTTTGTCTTATACAGAATATTTTAAAAAGATTCAATTACATATCTGAAAGTGATTTGTATAACCTAAAAAGTATTCTATCCACTCAAATGATGAATTATTTTGTTTCAAATACAAACATATGGTCTGTTATGCCATTAACACAAACCAAAGAGCACACAAATATGGTTTTCACTTATTTTAAATTTATACAATTCAACTTTGTTTCTAGAAATCAAGAATATTGCTCTCCAGGTTTTAGAATGGTCCCTGGAATAATACTGTTGTGGTTAAAAAGGTCACCACCTTGTGATTAGAGGTCACCTCCATTCATTCAAAATTATATATTCAATACATTTTAGTGATTGACTTGGAAAATAATTCCTTTTAATAATTAATAAATTCCCAGTTTCTCACTGATTTGCACTTTAATTAAGAAAGCTCTATCATGCTTTGTAGAATATCTATAT